GACTAATGTTATTGGGAGCCTATCAATATGATACTAGTGAAATGGGGCAAAAAAAAAAAATACGTCAGTCTGCAGGCTGATCGAATCTGGGGATTCCCCGCCTTCTCTCAAATATCACCCGCCGCCCGTCTCCTGAAAGCTAATCCGCTCTTGGTATACTATTACTAGATTATATAAATCTAACTAAATACAACGCTCCTGACACCCCTCAGTTTTGTCCGGAAATGCAGTCCGCTGCCGTAGGCGTGTACAGCGTACATCAGACGAGTTGAACTCATCAACCGAATGCATCGTCGAAATAATCGGGCAATCAAAATCGCGAAATAACCCCAACCGAAATAGATAATAAAACTCGCTTATATCTCGCTCTTATAGGCTAACTGAGGCTGAAGGGGTCGTTGTCGTATCAGGTACTAACCGAGGTACATATATGTATACACAAAGTGTACCAGACTTGTACTACAGACGTGTACCCTAACCCCAACCCTAACCATACCTCATATAAAAATATAAACACAATACTAAACAACCTAAAACTACCTCGGGTACATATATGTAGTACCTGATACGACAACGACCCTTCGTGCCTAACTGAGTCGTATGTACATGTGTTTAAAAACATGACCGACTGCACCGCCGATAAAATGGGATGGAAATACAACGTGTGGACGATGGCGCAGCAAGTTCCACAGCGTGTGAGGATACAAAATCCCTCGATCTGCGTCGTGTGGAAAATATCACACGTGTTTGATATTTTCTTCCACGTGTGGAAGATTGAACAGCGTGTGCGGAGTGGCTGTGTAAATTTCCACACTCAATTCGCATTGTTCTTGATTGTTCGCTTGGACACAGAGCATCGTTGAAGAGAGCGTTCACACGAGATTTGATCGATCAGTTCTTGCCTTCTTGGACATGCCTCTATTACCCCTTTTATACTGGGAGTTATCCCGCTTCAGGTCTGGACCTGAAGCGGGATAACTCCCAGTATAAAAGGTCGAAAAATACTTAGCCCGAGCTAAATTTATCCCGCTCTAGGTGGTTCAGGTCCGCTTCAGACCCGAGCTAACGTCAGTATAAAAGGTATCTAGACTTTAGCTCGCTCTAAATTCAGTGACCCGTGAACCAGAAATTGTGTATGCCGCTTCCGGGTTAGGCCAAAACAAAATATAGGTGTGGTTACCGTTTCCCGACCGACCCTATTTATTCCCAGCGACCCTAAACATTTTATTGTCAATTTTCTTTAAAGTAAAAATAAAATAAAAAATTGAATGTTCCCCCTTCTTTTACACCTCTTGACCTTTGACCCGCAAATTGATCATCCCGAGTCCTTTTCACGATCCCACCCCACATCCCGAATATCGTGACCGTACGTCGAGCGGTCAAGATTTGTGCCCAACTGTTGACGCACGCACGGACGGACGGACGATCATGCGATTCTACAAGCTGCATCTGACTATGTCAGATGAGCTAAAAATCGTGGTTCCCTTCTCAAAATTTAAGCGGATTGATTCCAACTATAGCGAGGCTGTGTAACGAATAACGCTAGAGCATCGTACGCACTAATTTAAGTGTTCACTGTGAATGACCCGAATTCAGTGCGTCTCTCAAAGATGACCCATATATCATCAGCGGTTTACTTGTGGCAAGGTGCAACGACTTCTTTCAATTTGTTTTCCTGTTCATAATCATAATATGAAATACGACATGGGAATAATAATACAAACATTTCATCATATTCCCACGAACATTTTCAACTTCTAACATTTGCAGTCCGTGCTCTCCGACGGCTGAACACGTGCCACCGTATGTCGCAGCTGCCAAACTCACAACACACAAAACTCCAGTCGACAGGATGCCAATCCGGTTGCACGGTCAATCTGTTTCTTCCAGCCCGCAGCAAACACTCGCAGCACGGTGGTAAAGTCCAACTTACCCATCTCCACCAACCCTCTCAAAATAGACTCGTCGAGCTAGTTCCGACATCGGGCTGCTGCAGCTGCATCTACTGTACATGAATTTTGTTGACGACTCGAATACATTATTTCAAAAGCTGCCCAGAAAATAGAAATCAATACCAGAGGAGCTAGGAATCTTGAAAGTTACAAGACGAGACAGCACCGGGATATACAATTAGGCAACCACCAATTGATAAACCCAACACGACATACAAAGGATCTTGAAATATAACAGCACAGGTGGCGAAACAGGAATCGGGGTGTGGCGCTCAAATTGCCAGAGTTACGTGTCCGTTCAAATTCGTCGTCCATTTCCCTCTTCTTGCGCGAAGAGGCTGCAGATATTCCTAGAGCTGGGATAGAATGCTGGATATTAGTGTATGGTGTGGAGAAAGCCGAGTCGCGGCGTGAAAACAGACCTTTCGTTTTCGCCTCCTTTGTCTGATTTTCCCCCGACCTTGGGCGGGGGGTTCGCAAACACACTTTCAAGGGACATTTGTCACAGTTTGTAAGGGTCGAGTTGTTATGTAAAGAGTAACGGACTTTTCCACACCACAGAGAATAAACTGAACTCGTGTTCAGACACGGAGTATCCACTGTCCGGCCGTATAACGCGATTATTTCAAGGAGTTTTATCAGCCATACGACCCATCAATGCATCATTGCCACAACGCAGAAAATTAATGGTGACGTCAGCGTTCAGGAATCTACCGAACGGTTGCGAAGAGTAAATCAAATATAAAAATAACGGTAAAACACTTTTGCATAGAAAAATAATGCTCTATATTAAAATTAGGTATAAACCATGAGAAAATACAAAATTTGAACCTTTATTCTTAGTTTCACTCAAAATTTTAATCGTTCGGCAATTTTCGTGATATAACTAAACGAGCCCCGATTTCTCACCATAGAAAGAATGTCATAGATTTTTAATATGAAATATTATCTGCTGATTTTTCAGCGATAATCCTACAAAAATTGCTGAAAATAAAATTTTCTTTGATATTCTAATAATTTCATTTTTATTTAATAAAATCGAAACAATAGTAAACATAATGAATATTTACTTATCTTCCACGCAAACCAAGCGAACGTGCTTAAATAGGAGAATGTGTGTCTGTGAATGTTTTACAGATTTAGAAATTTCGACCACTGTGTATGTAAGATGTACTTGGTATTTGCTCAATGTTCCCGGAGATTCTATCGTTGTTTAATTTTGTAAACTAGAACAGCACATTAAATTACGAGCGTATGGTCTTTTATTCAGTTTCGATTCATTATAATATAAACTTGTAGTATTAAAATATATATTAATAATAATATTATTATATATTATTAATTATTAATATAACTTATAAGTTATAACTATATAACTATAACTATAAGTCGCTACTGACTCTGTGTGCGTGTCTGTACTGTACTGTAGCGTGCAGGGGCCTACTGACGCTCATAGGGTCTATGTCCCCCAGGGTACTGCCGGAACGTACCCTGGGTACGGTCCGGTATACCGGAACGTACCCTGGTCACTATTTGATATGGTTAGGATTTAGGATTAGGGTTAGTGTTAGGGTTAGGGAGTAGGCGTAAGGCGACTCCCTAGACTCGTTAGTGAAGTAGGCGAGGTACGGTCCGGCCTATTAGGTAGTACCAGGGTACGTCCGGCAGTACGCCCAGGTGACAATAGACCCTCTCAGGCCCTACTGACGCTCAAGGGGTCGTTGTCGTATCAGGTACTACAGATATGTACCCGAGGTACATATATGTATACACAAAGTGTATCAGACTTGTACTACAGAAGTGTACCCTAACCCTAAGTAAACATACCTCATATAAAAATATAAACGTAATACCTAATACTAAACAACCTAAAACTACCTCGGGTACATATCTGTAGTACCTGATACGACAACGACCCCATCTGCCCTACTGACGCTCATAGGGTCTATGGCCCCCAGGTTACTGCCGGAACGTACCCTGGTCACTATTTGATATGGTTAGGAACTTAGGGTTAGGATTAGAGTTAGGGTTAGGGAGTAGGCGTATGCGACTCCCTAGACTCGTTAGTGGAGTAGGCGAGGTACGGTCTGGCATATTTGATAGTACCATGGTACGTTCGGTATACCGGACCCGTACCCAGGGTACGTTCAGGCAGTACCCCGGGGGACATAGACCCTCTCAGCCCTACTGACTAGTCACTCACTGTAGTCTGTACGGTAGGGTACTAGTACTGCTCATAGGGTCTATGTCCCCCAGGGTACTGCCGGAACGTACCCTGGTAACTATCTGATATGGTTAGGGAGTAGGCGTAGGCGACTACCTAGACTCGTTAGTGGAGTAGGCGAGGTACGGTCTGGCATATTACTATTAGATAGTACCATGGTCCAGCGTACGTTCCGGTATACCGGACCGTACCCAGGGTACGTTCCGGCAGTACCCTGGGGGACATAGACCCTCTCAGCACTAGTACTACCACTACCAGGGGTTAATAATGACAAATGAACCCTGCTAGTACTAATCACTATTATTACTAATAGTAATGTTTGTGGTCTTGCGACCAAAGACTCACAGCAGTTTGAACGTTTCAATAATAAAATGAGGGTAAATAAACATCAAATGTATTAGTAATAGTACAATCCTAATGACTAATGAGTAATGTTTCTTTGCTCTCTTCCGTTTCACCTATTATTACTTGATAATTTCCTGTAAATGACATTTAAGTGCTGCCCTCTGCAACACACAAAGTACACTGCACACATTGCTGTACACAAACAACAAAATGAATGAGTTTCTAATATAATTGAAATTTTAGCTCTATAATTTTGTTATTTGTGGCACAGTGGGTATATGAGGTGCCGGTGTAATTGTGTGGCTGCAAGAGGAGTATTTGATCGCATATACAGGAAATTATCAGTAATAGTAGGCTAAAGATAGTAAAGAAACACTATCTTTACTAGTCTACCAGACTTTGGTACTAAATACATTTTGTGTTATTTGCTCTCATTTTATTATTGAAGATGTTCCAAGTGCCTGTGACTACACTGGCTGCAATCACTACACTCTACTGCACTACAGTGCCAGATATGTCTTACTTCTGTTTATTATGTTGTTACAACTAATAATCGATTCTATCACTATCAGTGATTACCCAATGATTAGTTTGTAATATTATAGCAATGGAAAATCGTAGATTTTTTTTTCGTCACTGTCCATGATTACAAAAATCACTTGTACGAGTACTAGTACTAGTAGTAGTAGTACTACTACTACTAGCTGTACCTCTTATACAAGACTGTCCCTCAGTCGTACTTTATTCATAACTGTGCACTGAATTAACGAAGTTACGGGTCATCCATGTCAAATTCACCCCAAAAAATGGAAATTTACACCTGACCTATTTCAAATGGGCTCAAACTTGGTGTAGCGGGTAATTTGGGCTAACAAAACTTAAAATTTTAAATTAGCTCTATCGGAACAAACCCTTTTTTTGGACGATTTGGCCAAAAATGGAAGTGCCCCGTCAATTTTCCAAATGTCGTATCTCTGTAACCACTGGCTAAATTTGTTGATATTGGTGTCGTTGGGAAACTAATTGCATAGGCAATCCAAATCTGTCATTATTTGTTATATAGGAGCAGTATAAAGTTTGATGACTTTTTGCTTGAATTTGACCATGTGGATCACGTAACCGTGAGATGAACTTCATTGGAAATTAAACCTAAACATGTTTTCTACATAATAAAAAAAAATTTGAGATATAATATTTTGGTTTGCTTTCCAGCTCTTCTCAAATTTGGCATACTTGATGAAAAATGTAACCATACATGCATGTACTATTGTATATATAGGTCTGCATGTAATTTGAACTATGGCATGTCAGTTTTTCCATCCGAGTTTCCAAGTTTAAAATTTGATGAAATCTTCCTTTGATTCAGCAATGATGATAAATTTTGTTTGATTTGATGATGGCATACTACGTATTGCTTATATAAAGTGATCTCATGGTTTCTACAAAACATTAAAACAATATAGTTTTTTGTTTGCGTCCAGCTCAATGTATAAAATCAATAAAAACCAACATAAAAATTGTCTAAATTGTGTTTCTCCAAGCGTGTTTTGGGTGTCCCTCACAATTGACTAGAGCTGAGCCAACAATGGACATAGAACAATGTAAAATTATGTTTGAGATGTGAAGTCTGAGATGTGGGCGAGGATGGCGGTTACACCTAAATGATCGCCATTTAACGTTTTATAATATTCAGATTTAGGCACTGCCTAAAAGCGGAGCTCCCGATGTGAAACGTGTAAGATTGAGAGGATGCTTATTCCACGTAGCTGCTATATACCACGTGACAATGGTGTATCCCTGCCCATAACACAACTTTTGTAAAGGTTAATTGGTTGCATGGAAGTGTTTACTTCGTATAGTTTTTCTAGGCGGTAGCACAGCGTTGCCATCTGTATATCGGCAATAATAATTTATAAACCAAAATGAATCACAATTTGTGACGGTAGATGGCCTATACCCGCTTTGATGTTTCTTAGCGATGGCATTCGAAATAAATAGGTTATGCTGCGTTCCCACAGTTTTGTAAAACATTACTCTAAATTAAGACGTTTTATCGGCAGGTGGAGAGGAAATACCAATTTTGCATTAAAGATATTGTCAATGAAATCTTGTAAAACGAACCAGACGAGTGTGACACCGACTCACCAGACTGTGTGTCTATGACATAATATGCTATATAATTGCCAAAACCTACCTAATTTGCATTATTTTTAGCTCATCTGACATAGTAGATGCAGCTTGTAGAATCGCATGATCGTCTGTCGTCGTCCGTCCGTCGTCGTCGTCGCGTCGTACGTGCGTCAACAGTTGGCACAAATCTTAACCGCTCGACGTACGGTCACGATATTCGGGATGTGGGGGGGGATTGTGAAAAGGACTTGGGATGATCAATTTGGGGGTTAAAGGTCAGTCAAGAGGTGTAAAGAGAAGGGGGAACATTCCCTCCTTAACTTAAGGTATAGGGAGGAAAATGCAGAATTGCGGCACAAATCTAAACGGCTCGACCTAGGCTCGTGATAGTCGTGTATAGCATCATGGTAGAAAAGCCATCACTGTGCGAAATTGGAGGTCACAGGTCAAAGTTCAATGGGGCACAGGGCAGATTTTAGACATTTTCTGAGGACTTTTTTGTTTTAGCGGTGACCTACCATTTTTATGGCTGTATTGAAAGGACCATGAAATGTGCTTTCCACTGTTGTGCGAAGAGTAAGTGTCTGATAACCTTTTGACCCTCAAGAGGAGGGTTAAACATGGATTTGTTTACTGTTAGAAAGAATTTCACTGCCGGGTTTGCTAGTAGAATCTATACATGCCTGGATGTATGAGGCTACAATGTCACAGTGAAATTTCAAAAGCTAAATTTGCTTGAAGAAGGTTTATGCTCCTTAAATCGTATAATTTCTATGGCATTCTGTACTTTCAGTGTGTTACATGTAACTTAATTATGCCACTGCCAGTGGCGCTGAGAGGGTCTATGTCCCCCAGGGTACTGCCGGAACGTACCCTGGTACTATCTAATATGCCGGACCATACCTCGCCTACTTCACTAACGAGTCTAGGGAGTCGCCTACGCCTACTCCCTAACCCTAACCTTAACCCTAACCCTAAACCTAACCCTAACCCTAACCCTAACCCTAACCATATCAAATAGTTACCAGAGTACGTTCTGGCAGTACCCTGGGGGACATAGACCTATGAGCGCCAGTGGCCACTGCCAGTGCATGTGGTGGTGATAGTATGGTGTAGTTCTTGCCTGCGTTAATTAGTTACAACTTACAGGTGGCAGCTCTCTATTTCAGCCTGTAGGCTTGCGTAGGTAAATGGATGAGTGCTTACCTATTCTGTCTTGCAAATAGTTGTTGCTATAGTACGTACGATGGGAGCTTCCAGCTTCCATCTTTAATCTTAAGACATTCAAACGTATGCGCCATCTCGTGGCAACTTTCATAACGATCCCAGCCATTAAAAGGTCTGAGGCCATCTTAAAGTCAATTTAAGACATCTTAGTTAAGTTTTGCAATGACTGAGAAACCAATTTTAAACTGAATTTAACTAAGATAAACTTAGGAGATTTAAGATGTCTTGAACCTTCTAGGCAGAGCTTAAATTTAAGCAGCGACTGAATATTCAAGTGCCTTGTATCCAGGGGAACTAAAAGCAGTAAGAGATGAGGGATTGGAATTTTCTGTATAATGATCAGGGCTGGCAGGTTTTGGAAATGGCCAACTCATGAAGATAGATTTCTTTACTTTGCTGATCAAATTTAGAAGAGGCTCAATCCTCCAGTATAGGTAAATGCTTATGAAAACTATGACTTTTGTGGTTTTGGCTAAATGATTGAAAAATTGTATTTTTTGTGCAAATGGTAGGAAAATGAAATGTTGTATTGTATAATTTTCAGATAAGTTTGTTGTTTAATGTTCTTTTTAATAGTATAATTTTAATGTAATGTAAGAATTCTAACTGTTATGAGTACCTTACAATATTTTAACTGTTTGTACTAAACTGTAAGTTGACGTGATTAGTTGTCACGTCAGTCACGGTCGCGTCAGTCACGATGAATTTTTTAATTTTTTAAATTAATTATAATTGGAATTGATTGTTTATAATATCTGTTTAATTGTTAGTTCATTGGTTGAAAATGAATTTTTAGCTCATCTGACATAGTCAGATGCAGCTGTGTAGAATCGCATGATCGTCCGTGGCGTCCGTCCGTCGAGCGTCCGTGCGTCCCGAGCGTCGTTCCGTGCGTCAAACAGTTGGGACACAAATCTTAACGCTCGACGTACGGTCACGATATTCGGCACATCGGGGGGGATCGTCAAAACGAGTTGGGATTGTCGAAGGTCTGGGGTCAAAGTCAAAGCGTCAAGAGGTGTAAAAGAAGGGGGAACATTCACTCCTTAACTTAAGGTATAGGGAGGAAATGCAGAATTGCGGCACAAATCTAAACGGCTCGACCTAGGCTCGTGATAAGTCGGTGTAATAGCATCATGGTAAGGAAAAGCCATCACTGTGCCGAAATGGAGGTCACAGGTCAAAGGTCAATGGGCACAGGGCAGATTTTAGACATTTACTGAGGACATGGTCGACGGAGCGATTGAAAAACTTTTTTGTTTTAGCGGTGACCTAGGCATTTTTATGGCTTTATTGAGAAGACCATGAAATGTCCCTTCTGCTGAACATGGCGAAGAGTAAGTGTCGGATAACCTTTTGACCTCAAGAGGAGGGTTTAAACATGGATTTGTTCACATGTCAACAAAGGACGAACTGCTTTTGCTAGTAAGAATCTAGCTTTCACGACTGAAAATGTTACGTTTATAATCGTAGCAACAGACCTCAGGATGAGCCCAGACCTCTGCGGCTCTTGTTTAGAAATATACCTGTGTCCGATTACTGTCACGTCAGTCACAGTGAGAAAAGGGTCGCCTATATGTCCGTATGTGCTGTGGTCTTTATTGATTCTGAAACTTTTGATATAAATTTGAAGGAATCTGTCTGTACTATCTACATACTAAATACTTGGAGGAAGAAGGTACTATAAGTTGTCTAAGATCTGAGCTGAATTTTTAGAAATGACAAAAAATGTCACGTCAGTCACCGTGGAATTGCCCCTATGGGAGAGATTTGAACTTCCTATTTTGGAGCACCCCAGTCGACCTACTTTCGAGCCACACCCACTTTTTGGCAAAAATGAAAATGGCCATCTAAATTCATTCGATTTTGTTAAATTTTGGTATGTGAATGTGTAAGGCTAGCCCCAAAACAGGTGTTACTCCTATGTGAGAGATGACAACGTCATATTACGTTTATTTCGTCTAACTGGTCAACAACTCTACAATCATACCTATATACGTGTAATATTGTGTTTTAGATTCTTCGTTACACTAATTTGACTGGAATATATTATTGTTTTTATTTGCGCGATATTTGAAAATCAAATTGGCGATTATTTAGGCGTAGCACCATCTCTCGTCAAGATCTGAAACATTTATTTTCGCATCAAAACTTATGCATATATCATTATCAAGAGTATATAATGGGAGATATGCTATATAATGGGAGGTCTCCCATATATATACTTTTGCTTTATATATATCCCCCCTCCGGGTCCCTCTTCTATCACACCCAAGGTGAGCTACAGTGTCATTGACACTTTCATTTATAGAAAACCTCCTGATGGGGTATTCACAGCAAACGTTCTAACAATGGCCTGCTGGTATAAAAGTGTTTATTGTGAAATCATTGCACCAAAATGCATAATCCGAAATAAATATAGCTAAATAGAATCTCACCTCATAGCGGATAGATATTATTACTGATTATACCAACGCCGTAACGCCATGGCATATTTGATTATACTGTCAATGAATTTGCAAATAGTGCCTTAGTTTACCAACAAGTTACAAGTGCACCCATAATATACCTAATTCAAACAAAATGGCATCTAGATTCTGTTTCTATTTTGAAATTGGCCGATAGCGGGCGCTATCGCGAGATTCACAAGAAATTGCTGCGGTAATCAAATCAGGTTGAGCGCCGGGCAGACATTCCTCCCAACCTCGACTCCGTTTCTGACTAACCCTAACCCTAACCCTAACCCTAACCCTAACCCTAACCCTAATTAATTTTAATTAACACTAATAAATTTAATTTAATTAAAAAAAAAATTACCCGAGATTTCGTCATTATTCAATATGGCCGGTGCAGGGAGGAATGTCTGCCAGGTGCAAAATCTAATCAAATCGAGTAATCACAACTCGAATCGTGAATGATTTGCTGAATATAGTCAAGTACGAAGGTTCTAAGACATGTAGGTGTTACTCTAGACAGTTGCTGTTACTCAAGCAATAATGGTAAGTGTTGTCAAAGTGGAGAAAACACGAGATTGGTTGGAAATTACGTTATTATGTTATGTATATTATTTCTCGTTTAGGTTATAGATATTTTGATTCTGCAGCCGGTTAAAGCACAACATGTCAGACAGTGATGCGAGTAACATTTCTGATCATGATAGTGGCGTAAGTACTCAAGAAGTTAATGTTTTTACAGATTAAAAACATTTTAATTCGTAATTCTTAGTACGTTGAAGTTTTTATTGTTGAAATCATGAAAAATGGCGATTAAAAATATCACATTTTTATTGTTAACATTGCAGTTGAATTTTGCACACCGATTTGTTTGGACATTGGATATGGTGGTAACAGCAGCTTAGTTTCTTTTGATCGTTTATGTTGTATTTGCCCCTTGTTAAACATGCTTTTCCTAAGCAACTGGTTTGTTTTAATGATACTAGGGGGAGGACGAGAATGATGGAGCAGCAAGCCCAGCCCATAGTGAAGCCAGTGAAGCTCACAGTGATGAAGCTAGTGTAGCTGATGAAGAGGAACCTGAAGGAGAAGATATTGGTATTTCCGATGAGGTATATTACTGCTATGTGAATGCTTGAATTATAATTTATATCTGTAAATAGTTTATCAGAACCAAATCGGAGGCAAGTTAAACTGACCCATCTACACACAGTTTATGTACTGCTGTGGTATGGATATAGCACTGAACATCTGTTTTCCTATGAGAGGATGATGAGGAGGAAGGACCCAGGAGGAAAAAGCCAAGACACGGAGGCTTTATTCTTGATGAGGCTGAAGTTGATGAGGAAGAAGAGGATGATGAAGAATGGGAGGAAGGAGCACAGGATCTCATTGATAAAAAGTCTATTGCTGGCGAGCCCAGTTCCCGGGAGATGGAGGGAGCGAGGCGATTGGCTCACATGTGGAGGTAAAATCTAGCTCGCATGTGATAAATTTACATGAGATTGCATTGATTCGCATTAGAGTGAAAAGGTTTTGTACAGGTATGCTTATTAATATGTTTCGGATCTTATTCCTGCAGCACGCAGAGAGAAGATGAAATCGAAGCCTACTACAAAAAGAAGTACGCTGGCTCCTCTTCTCAGCGGGGAACAACTGAAGGAGATGCTGATCTCTCAGATGACATCACTCAGCAAGGATTGCTGCCAGGAGTCAAGTAAGCTGCATTTCTATATTGGGGTTTAAAGTTAAGTAGGAAAAACATTGCTTTTACTCCAGAAAGGTAACAGCCAAAATCTACCTTTCTGTAGTTTTAAAGTTTCTTCCTGGGTAAAATGACTAGCATTTGTGCTAATTCCAGGAGCTTACTTCAGCACTAATAGATGGATTAACACAAAATCGATGAATAAAAAGGTGATAAAAATGTAGTTTTTTATTACTGTTCCATAAGAAAGATGCATAGTTACTGTCACTTTTCTGGCAACCCAATGTACTTGCCCCAGAAATTTTGAAATGTGTTTATTTCTCCCAAGCTTTTTACACTAATTAGTGAGCACAAATCAATTCGTTTCAATTTTTTCCATGTTTGTTATCTATTATTATTATGTTTGTTTTCTATGTAATTCTGGTTCATAGGGATCCCAACCTGTGGATGGTAAAGTGTAGAATAGGTGAAGAAAAAGTTACGGCTCTGCAGCTAATGCGGAAGTTTATTGCATACCAGCACACGGAGGAGGTATGTATGATCTATGTGCAAAGTTAGGGTTATGTAGTTAATTTTCCGGACACTTAATTTGTTATTACATTGAGTCTGTGTAATCTAATCACATAATATCTGTCTAAATTAACACCTAAATAATCACATAAATTAGATCACAATGTTTGTACTTATGTGTCGTAAAAGTCCTGTTATGTTATCCAGAATCTAACGGTAAAGAATTTAATTTCGCACTATTATGCTGCATCAATATCAGAGCTACTGAGTTTCGTCCCCTGTTAGCCCCTGAGCTGATAAGTGGTATAATTACCAGAACTTGGTCAGTTTCAGCTACTGTTTATTTGTGTGTATGATAATATTATTTTTTATGATTGATTGATATGTATGATAAATTGTTTCTACACTATTCTTATCATGTAATATGTTAAATTTGTTCTATATGCAGCCATTGCAGATCAAGGCAATTGTGGCAGTTGAGGGTTTAAAGGGTTATCTGTATGTGGAGGCTTTTAAGCAAACCCACGTAAAGCAAGCTATAGAAGGTATAGGCAACCTGCGCATAGGCATCTGGAACCAACAGGTATGCAAAGGTCCTTTTCTTAAAAGACAGGGGAGAAGTCACAAAAATTGACTAAACAGTTCTGCAGTATCTTGCTCGAGTGATGATGTTTGTATGTACACCAGTAAACTAGGGAATCTGCACACCGATTATTAATAACAGAAGCTGTATAACCTTTATTTTATAGCCATTATAACTGTTAAGCGTAGAGGTTTTGCTAAATTGGACATTTCACTTCACTGTTGTCAATAGATGGTACCAATTAAAGAAATGACAGATGTCTTAAGGGTTGTAAAAGAGCAAGTTGTGCTAAAGCCAAAGTCATGGGTCCGACTGAAGCGAGGCATCTACAAAGATGACATTGCACAGGTAAGATGGCATCATAAATAACTTGGCAATGTGCAGTGGTAGGTCAGGTGTCTCACACCTACACAGCACAGTGTAATGCTCGTAGTTGTAATAATGGTATCTTATTACTAATGGGGTTAGCCGCTAGAAACAGTTGCCGCTGGAGGGCAGCACATCTGTAGCAGTTCAAGATTATCCGTGTACCCGGATGCACACCCTGGATACACTAATGGCGACATATGACAAACTTACCGTACACTCTAAAAGTAAACTTTATGAAAGAGGAGCGTCGACAAGGGGTAGCAAAGAGGATTTGATACAAAGGTAAGAACTATGTTCCACGAAATACGTTGTGTATATGTCAGAGTGATAATGCACAATTTTGGTCAGAATCAGCGTGTGAAATCTCGGCAGATGAACGCTTTTAGAAGCGGCTTGTAAACACTGTCTTGGAACGCATTTTCCTACTGTATTCTAGATGTAGGTTAAGAATTTCCTTCGCATTATTTGGTCGCAAATTTAGTAATTTGTTAAAAACGTACGTTTGAGACCCTGCTTCGATGTTCAAGCTTGTTTAATAGTTGCTCTATAATATATATAGAGTATAATAGACAGAGAGAGAGAGAGAGAGAGAGATCATAGACCCTCTCAGCACTAGTACTACCACTACCAGGGGTTAATAATGACAAATGAACCCCTGCTAGTACTAATCACTATTATTACTAATGAGTAATGTTTGTGGTCTTGCGACCAAAGCTCACAGGCATTTGGAACGTTTCAATAATAAAATGAGGGTAAATAAACATCAAATGTATTTAGTAATAGTACCAATCCTAATGACTAATGAGTAATGTTTCTTTGCTCTCTTTCAGTTTCACCTATTATTACTGATAATTTCCTGTAAATGACATTTAAGTGCTCCTCTGCAACACACAAGTACACTGCACACATTGCTGTACACAAACAACAAAATGAATGAGTTTCTAATATAATTGAAATTTTACTCTATAATTTTGTTATTTGTGCACAGCGGGGTATATGAGGTGCCGGTGTAATTGTGTGCTGCAGAGGAGTATTTGATCGGCATATACAGGAAATTATCAGTAATAGTAGGCTAAAGATAGTAAAGAAACACTATCTTTACTAGTCTACCAGACTTTGGTACTAAATACATTTTGTGTTTATTTGCTCTCATTTTATTATTGAAATGTTCCAAGTGCCTGTGACTACACTGGCTGCAATCACTACACTCTACTGCACTACAGTGCCAGATATGTCTTACTTCTGTTTATTATGTTGTTACAACTAATAATCGATCTATCACTATCAGTGATTACCCAATGATTAGTTGTAATATTATAGCAATGGAAAATCGTAGATTTTTTTCCGTCACTGTCCATGATTACAAAAATCACTTGTACGAGTACTAGTACTAGTAGTAGTAGTACTACTACTACTAGCTGTACCTCTTATACAAGACTGTCCCTCAGTCGTACTTATTCATAACTGTGCACTGAAGTTAACGAAGTTACGGGTCATTCCATGTCAAATCACCCCAAAAATTGGAAATTTACACCTGACCTATTTCAAATGGGCTCAAATTTGGTGTACGGGGTAATTTGGGCTAACAAAACTAAAATTTTAAATTTTAGCTCCATCGGACAAACCCTTTTTTTGACGATTTTGGCCAAAATGGAAGTGCCCGTCAATTTTCAAATGGTCGTATCTCTGTAACCACTGGGCTAAATTTGTTGATATTGGTGTCGTTGGGAAACTAATTGCATAGGCAATCCAAATCTGTCATTATTTGTTATATAGGAGCAGTATAAAGTTTGATGACCTTTTGACCTTGAATTTGACCATGTGGATCACGTAACCGTGAGATGAACTTCATTGGAAATTAAACCTAAACATGTTTTCTACATAATAAAAAAAAATTTGAGATATAATATTTTTGGTTTGCTTTCCAGCTCTTCTCAAATTTGGCATACTTGATGCAAATGTAACCATACATGCATGTACTATTGTATATATAGGTCTGCATGTATAATTTGAACTATGGCATGTCAGTTTTTCCATCCGAGTTTCCAAGTTTTAAATTTGATGAAATCTTCCTTTGATTCAGCAATGATGATAAATTTTGTTTGATTTGGATGATGGCATACTACGTATTGCTTATATAAAGTGATCTCATGGTTTCTACAAAACATTAAAACAAATATATGTTTGTTTGCGTCCCAGCTCAATGTATAAATCAATAAAAACCAAACATAAAAATTGTCTAAATTTGTGTTTCTCCCAAGCGTGTTTTGGGTGTCCTCACAATTGACTAGAGCTGAGCCAACAATGGACATAGAACAATGTAAAATTATGTTTGAGATGTGAAAGTCTGAGATGTGGGCGAGTGATGGCGTTACACCTAAATGATCGCCATTTAACGTTTTTATAATATTCAGATTTAGGCACTGCCTAAAAGCG